ATTCAAGGTGCAAATCTAGGGCACTGCTGTGAACTAAGCCAGGGAAGACAGTGGTGTCGTGGTAATGTCAATGGACTATTAGTTCAGAGGTTCAAGCTAATACTGTGAGGACACGGGTTCAAAACCCACCACATCAGCTGGGGGAGTTTGGACTATTAATATGGAGCGGGCGTAGAAGTCAAAGGGCAGTTGGAGGCCTGTGGTTATGTGATGTCTCTTCCAGAATTTTCTTGCTATTTTGTCACTGTAGCCTCTGGGATTTTTGGCATCATCTTACTTTTCTGGCTTTCTTCAAGCCTCCCTCAGTACATGACTCGATGTTGTTCATTATACCTTTATTTTTCTCCTTCTTCCTTTCTTGCCCCCGATTTCACCTTCAGTTGTTGCCAGGACGTGGCTATTAGGTCTCCATCTCTGATTCTGCACTTAGCTCTATTCCTCTCTCTAATTGTACTTGGCAACCTCCAGGATTTGAAAGCTAGTCTCAGTAATGGTAATCAAAGTAGTATCATCAATTGTTGAAAAATAGCCCATCTGTTTCAAAGATTGATGAATTTCTAGATATTGAAGATATCTAGGGTAATGGAGGTGGTGCAGGAAGTGTTGAGGTAGAAGGTCACTCATGATTTAGTTGAATGGTGGAGAAGGTTTGAGGATCCAAATGGCTGCCTCCTGCTCCTATTTCCTCTGTTGCCAATGCCCTTTTATGGAAGGAAATCTCCAGAAATGTGTCCTGGCAACTGTTGGTGTATCCCGTGTTGGTGTGTTCCGGACTGGGGGACAAACCTGCAGATATTCTGTCATCTTTCACTTAAAGATTGATTCACAGAATCATCATGTCACAGAAGACAACAGTTGGGCCCATTGTGCCTGCACCAGTTCTTCAAACAAGCATCATTACCTAGTGTCAATCTTATTTTTTTTAAGTACCCTCTTAAAGGTCTCAACTGAACATACTGATTGTGAATTGGGTGTAAAGTTTTTAAAATTCGAATTTGTTGGACCATGGATGAAAGTTGTGTCACAGGTAGACAGGATGGTTAAGAAGGCATTTAGCATGCTTGCCTTCATTGCTCAGCCCATTGACTACAGGAGTTGGGATGTTATTGTTGAGATTGTACAGGACATTGGTGAGTCCTCTTCTGAAGTACTGTGTACAGTTTGGGTCACCCTGCTTTGGGAAGGATATTATTAAATTGGAGAAGGGTTCAAAAAAGATTTACCAGGGTGTTGCCAGGACTGAGGGTTTGAGTTATAAAGGGAGGCTGGATAGGCTGAGACTTTTTTTTTCCACTGGAGCATAGGAAGTTGAGAGGTGACCCTATAGAGGTTTATAAAATCATGAGGGGTATAGATAAGGTCAATAGCAAAAAATAGGGAAAGCTAGGGGTGGGTGAGTTTAAACTAGCGGGGGGGAGGGCATATTTCTAAGGTGAAAGGAGGAAGATTTTAAAAGGGACCTGAGGAGCAACATTTTCACACAGTGGTTCGTATGTGGAATGAACTGCCAGAGGAAGTGGTAGATGCGGGTACATTTGAATGTTGTTTGGACAAGTGTATAAATAGAAAAGGGATATGAACCAAACACAGGCAAGTGGGACTGGTTTAGTTTGGGAAACTTGGTCAGCATGGACAAATTGGACTGGAGGGTCTTTCTGTGCTGTATGACTCTGACTCTAAATTGAGAAGTTTGATAGAATGCATGGGGAGAAACTGATCTGATTGGCAGGATGGCTGGTAACCAGAGAATCCAGGTTTTAAGATAATTGTTGGAAAAAAAGGAGAAATGGAGGTTTTTTTTCACCAATCGGTTTATCATCTGGAATAATGCTGAAAGCAGATTTAATAGAGAATTTTAAAAGGAACTTGAACACATGCTGGATAAGGGATAGTTTCCAGGGCTGAACAGAGAGTGGGATTAATTGGAAAGCTCTGTTTAAATAGCCATGCTTAATGGACTGAATAGCCTCCCTTTAAGAGTTGAATTCCATGAATTGTGTGGAACGTTAACCTTTTACAGATCAGGCATGGGCTAGAGGTACTGGGTAGGGCATGAGGGATTGTTGTCTGTTTGCTCTTTGGTTCCAATAATTAGACCACAATTAATGCTTATCCTTTTAATATTCATTTCCAGCAACCACTTTCCTCAACGAACTTCATGTATGAGTTGGATCGAGTTACACAGGAGATGATCATGGTGAGTTTTGTTTTTGGAGGAATTATTCATGCTGGGCGGGAAATTATTTCCTCTTTGACCAGGGAGAGACAGTGGGGTAGTGGTAATGTTACTGCTTCAGTAATGCTGAGGATAGTGACAGCTAGTGAAGTTTAAATTCAATTACTTTTTAAAATCTGGAATTGAAAGCTAGTCTTGTAGAAAACTTAGTAATAAGCATTTATTAATTGACATAAAATCTCATCTGGTTCATGAATGCCCTTTGGGAGGAAATCTGCCATCCTTATCCAGTCTGACCTATATGTGATTCCAGACCTACGGCAATATGGTGGACTCTGAACTGCCCTCTGAAATGGCCCAGCAAGCCACTCACTTCAAAGACCATTAGGAATGGGCAACTAATGTTCCCACAGGCACCAAGAATTTTTTAAGAACTTCAAAAATGCCTTGACAAAAGGCATGACGTTACTCAGGGCTGTTTTTAGTGGGTCACATTCTTGTAGCTGAGTCAGCCACCTTCAAGGTCAAGTTCCACTCTAGGGTTTGAACACAAAACTGAAAGTGGTGTCTCTGTGCTGCACTGATCAAAGTGTATCTTTTGGCTGAGACCTTAAACTGGTCCTCCTGGTGGATATCAAAAATCCCATAGAATTATTTTGCAGACCCTATCCTGGCCAATTTTTATCCGTCAACCAATGTCACAAAAACAGGTTATCATATTCAAAAACAAACAAATTGCTGGAAAAGCTCAGCAGGTCTGGCAGCATCTGTGGAGAGAAATCAGAGTTAACGTTTCGGGTCCAGTGATCCTTCCTGCGAACCCTGGGTAACCATATTGGTGGTTTTGGGAGCTTGCTGTGCACAAACTGGCTACTGTGTTTCCTACATTACACCAAGCATTGCATTTCATATGTTAATAGCTGTGAAGTGCTTTATGGTGTCCAGTAGTCACGAGAAGGTTTTATAAATGCATTTTTAAGGAACTACTTTCAGTAAACCTCAGGTGGATAATGTTGCATATCGTCATTCTTTAGTCCCCCACTCGTGGTAGGGATACTGATTTAGTGCCTCAGACTGTTTTTCTGTTTTTGGGAAGCTGGATCTTAGCTGTTTTCACCTTGTAGCTGAGGGAGCCTGAGCTGGTTGGAGATGACAATGCATTATTTTCACCCATTAATGCCATCAGCACTTTCAGTACTTTGTTCTTTTTGTGCTCAAATTGGGGGTGGGAGGGTAATCAAACTTTTTTTCCTTTTCATGGTGTCCTTCTCCTCTTTGGTCTGTCCCCTTGGGTGCATGACAAATACTCATGCCATCAACTTGAGTCCCACTTCTTCACAAAGATGTTATTGCCATTAACCCACTCTTCCCTGGACCTTCTTTCCCATTGCTCTTGTCCAAAGGCCTGTCTGAGCAAGATAGGAATTTAAACACAAATTTGGTGCAGTTCTATGCAGAAAATGTGTAACCCACTTTTGTGGAATAAGAGAGATGATTCAAACTAACTTTGTACAGGATTCTTCCAACTAATGGACAGTGGGAGCTGTTTTAAATACAGGCCACAATAATGGGTCAGAACCAAATCTACTGTGCCCTATTTACATTCCCTTTCCCTGGCAGACCTTGTTGCTTCACTTTGTATATTGTCAAAATATGTATTTTAAAATGCTGTTCCTTTTTTAAATTTTAGACAATATTAAACACACAGAAGACAAGTGTACCGGGAGACCAGATAACAGTGCCTGGAGCCAATGTGAAGATATCCTTATAAATCCTTCAAACTTTCTAATACCATTTAGATCCTTTGTAATGGTAGTGCTCTTGTCTCTGAGTCAGAAGGTGTGTGTTGAAGTTGCACTTGAGGGGCTTGAGCGCAGCATCTCAGCTGACACTTGAAGTGAGTGAGGAGAAAACTGTTTGATGGAGTTCCATGTGTGAAATGTGAGGTCATCCATGTTGGCTCTTGGTAGGATAGATCAGCATGTCCTCTAAAGGCCGAAGAACTGGGGACTGTCCAGAGTCGACCAATTTAGGTGTCAGATACAGAAGTCATTAAAAGCTTCTAAGCAGATAGAAAAAAAATAGTTCAGAGTGCTAATGGAATCTTGCTATTATCTCAAGGGTTCTGCTGTGGTGTGACATTATTTTTCAGCTGTGAGTGAGATATTGCTCTCAGCTCTGGGAACTGCACTTCTGGCAAGATATGATACTATAATGGAAGTGTTACAGCAGAAGTTCACTAGATTTAGATAATTTTCATCAACTTGTTCAGACATTTTATGACAAACCCCTGGAGCTGATAAAACTTGAATGTAAGCCTTCTTCTCCAGAGATATGGAGACTACCTACCAGTATGCCACAAGAGCGCTTTTCTGGGCTTAAAAGTTGAGGACTGGTTGGGGTAAGACTAGCTCCTGCAGAGTTGCCTCCTCTGCCTTGAACAAGGAGCTTGTCTGACCCCCTGGAGTGGATGTAAAAGTTCTTCTGCCATTATTCAGAGAGGAACAGAAAAGCAGCACTTCATACATTCCATTGTCTACAAAGTGCTTTGGGGGATTGTACCAGTTGTCCAAAGGAATGACAAGTGCAAATTTTATTTTCTCTTCAGTAGACAGATATTTGCATTTACCCAAATTGTCTCCGTACCAATTGCTAAAAGCTTCACATGTTATTTGGTGGAGCAGGTTATTCGATGAAACCATTTCTTTCCTTAATCTTGATGACACATCGAGCTAACACGAAACCTCCAAATGGCTGAACTTCGTAAACTGAGGCGACAGTTCATCAGCTACACCAAGATGCACCCGACGGAGAATATCGGACAGATAGCAAACATGTTTGTGCAGTACATTAACCGGAGCCTCCACTAACATGCAAGGGAATGTAGCAAATTGTGACTTGGATTTCTTTAATAATAATAAAGTGTTTTTAGATCAAGATCATTTTCTTGTTTGCCTGTCCAACTGAAAGTATTGATACTTAAAACAGGACATTTAATATAACGACTCTTGTGAAGCAACTTACTTGAGGATGATGAAATAAAAACAGAATGCTGGAGAAACTCAGCAGGCCCGGCAGCATCAATGGAGAGACAAACAGTTAACGTTTTGAGTCTGGTATGACTATAACACCATAAGACGTAGGACCAAAAGTAGGCTGTTCAGTCTATTGAGTGTGCTCTGTTAATCAGAGAGCATGGCTAATCTGGTAATCCTCATCTCCATTTTTCACAATAACTCATTATTACTGATTTAAAAATCTGTCTATCTCAGCCTTGAATATACTTAATGATATAGCCTTCACACCCTTCTGTGGTAAAGAGTTCCACAGAGAACAAATTTCCTCATTTCTGTCTTACATGGATGATCCCTTTTTCTGAGATTATACCCTGTGGTCTTAGACTGTCCTGCAAGGGGAAACAGCCTTCCTGCATCTACCCTCAGATGTCCCCTAAGAATCCTGAACTTGTTGAAACATACATCTTTCATTCTCCTAAGCTCCAGTGAGTACAAACCCAATTCTCCTCAAGGATCAAAGACAGATGAATTTAGAGCTTGGATTGGTGCATATAACTACGAAATTGTATCTATAATAGAGACTTGGTTGTGCGACAGGCAAGACTGGCTGCTTAATGTTCCAGGATTTAAATGTTTCAGGCAAGATAGAGAGGGATATAAAACATGTGGGTGTGTTACATTACTAGTTAGGGAGAATGACAACTGTACTGAAGGAGGACATCTTGGAGGGCTCATCCAGCGAAACTATATGGATAGACCTCAAGAACAGGAACAGCACAATCAGTTAGGGGTTTTACTACAGGTCTCTGACAGTCAGCTGGATATAGAGGAACAGATATGTGGATAGATCATGGAAAAAATGTAAAAACAACAGGGTTGCTGTGCAGGGTGATTTTAACGTCCCATATATTGACTGGGATTCCCTTAATGCCAACGGCTTGGATGGGAGGGGAATTTGTTAGACGTGACCAGGAGAGTTTTTTGAAACTATATATAAATAGCCCAACTCGGAGGAAGGGCCATACTAGAGCTGATATTGGGGAATGAGCCTGTTTAGGTGATTGAAGTTTCAGTGCAGAGGCATTTCAAAAACAGTTACCATAATTCCATAAGTTTAAAGTTACTTATGGATAAGGATAAAAGTAGTTCTTTTGTGAAAATACTAAATTGGTGGGAGACAAATTACGATAATATTAGGCAGGAACTGGAGAATGTAGACTGGGAGTGGCTGTTTAAGGGTAAATTCTTATCTGTCATGCAGGGTGCTTTTAAAGGCCAGTTAGTTAGAGTTCAGAACCACCATGTTTCTGTGAAAATGAAGAATAAGGATGGCAACATTTAGGAACCTTAGGTGATGAAATTGTAAGCTTAGAAAGTATAAGGAAGCATACATAAGGTTTAGGAAACTGAAGACAGACAGCCTTAGAGGAATTCATAAATAGAATCCCTACAGTGTGGAAGCAGGCCATTTGAGTCCACACCACCCCTCTGAAGAGCATCCCACCTGCACCCCTACCCTATCCCTGCAACCTTGCATTTCCCATGGCTAATCCACCTAGCAACACATTCCTGAATACTATAGACAATTTAGCATGACCAATCCACCTATTCTGCACATCTTTGGATGTGGGAGGAATCCAGAGCACCTGGAGAAAACCCAGGCAGATACAGGGAGAACATACAAACTCCACACAGACAGTCACCTGAGGCTGGAATCGAAACTGGCTCCCTAGCACTGTGAGGCAGCAGTGCTAACGACTGAACCACTGTGCCATTTAAAAAAAAATGTAGGAAAGAACTTAAACAAGGAATTAAGAGGGCTTAAAAAGGCCATGAAATAACCTTGGCAAACAGAATTAAGAAAAATCCCAAGGAGCAAGAGGGTAGCTAGGGAAAGGGTAAGTCCACTCAAAGCACAAAGGAGGGAATTTATACCTGGAGCTGAAGGATGCAGGTGAGGTCCTTAACAAATACTTTGCAATGAGGAGGACGTGGTGGAATGTGAATCCAAAGAGGGGTATTTTGATATTCTAGGGCATGTTAATATAAAAAAGATGTTGAGTGTTTTGAAAAGGATTAAGGTATACAAGTTCCCAAGATCTGATTGGACCTGTCCCAGATTACTGTGGAAGGAAATTGCTGGGACCTTGTACAAAATTTTTGCATCCTCTTTAGTCAAAGGGGAGGTCCCAGAGGACTGGAGAATAATCAGTGTTGTTCATTTGTTTAAAAAGGGCAACAGGGATAATCTGGGAAATTGTAGGCTGGTGAGCCTTGCGTCAGTGGTTGAGAAATTACTGGAGAAGGTTCTTAGGGACAGGATTTATTCACATTTTGATAAATATGGACTTATTAGCGATAGGCAGCATGGCTTTGTGTGGGGTAAGTCATGTCTCACAAACTTGATTGATTTTTGAGGAAGTGACAAAGATGATTGATGAGGGCAGGGTGGTAGATGTTGTCTGTATGGACTTTAGCAAGGCCTTTGACAAGGTTCCTCATGGTAGGCTAATGCAGAAGTTAAGTCACAGGGGATTCGCAGTGAGCTGGTAAAATTGTTACAGACCTGGTCACAAAAGACAGAGAGTAGTGGTGGAAGGTTGTTTTTCTGACTGGAGACCTGTGACCAGTGGTGTTCAACAGGGATCAGTGCTGGGATCCCTGTTTGTAATATATATAAATGATTTGGAGAACATAGGTGACCTGATTAGTAAGTTTGTGGGTGACAAAAGTTTGGAGGAGTTGTGGATAGTGAGAAGGATTCAGCAGAATATAGATAGGCTGGAGACTTGGTCACAGAAATGGCAGATGGCATTTAATTTGGGCAAATGCATTTTGAAAGATCTAATATAGGAGGGAAGTATACAGTAAATGGCAGAATCATTAGAAGTATTAACATGCAGAGGGATCCAGCCTCACAGGTCCACAGTTCCTTGAATGTGTGACACAAGTGGATAAGGTGGTCAACAGGGCATATGGCATGCTTACCTTAATTGGTCGGGCATAGAGTATAAAATTTGGCATGTCATGTTATAGCTGTATAGCATTTTAGTTAGGCCGCATTGAAATGTTGCATACAGTTCTGGTCACCACACTACCAGAAGGATGTGAAGGCTTCAGAGAGAGTACAAAAGTGATCTACCAGGATTTTGTCTGACTTGGAGGGCATTAACTATGAGGAGAGATTTGAGAAACTCGGTTTGCTTCCCATCGAACGTTGGAGGCTGAAGAGGTGACCTGATTGAGGTTTACAACATTATGAGAGGAATGGATAGTCGGTATCTTTTTCCCAGGGTACAAACGTCAATTACTAGGGGAAAAAGGCTAAAAGGGGAAAAGTTTAAAGGAGATGTGAGAGACACGTTTTTGTACACAGAGCTTGTCGTATGAGGAGTGATTGAGGATTCTGGGTCTGTCCTCAGAGTTTAGATGGATGAGGAGAGAATCCGATTGAAATTGAATACTGAGAGGCCTGGATAAAGTGGATGTGGAGAAGATGTTGCCATTAGACTAGGACTCAGGGCAGAGTCTCAGAGTGAAAGACAACCCTTCAGAACTGAGATTAGGAGTTATTTCTTAGCCATAGAGTTTTTAATCTGTGGAACTCATTGCTGCAGGAGGCTGTGTAGGTCAGTTCACTGAGAGTGTTTAAGATGAAGATAGGCAAGCTCTTGATTAGCGAGGGGATCAGGGGTTATGGGGAGTAGGCAGGAAAATGGTGTTGAGAATGATATCAGCCATGATCAAATAAACAAATATTTCACATCAATATTTACTGTGGAGAAGGACGTGGAAGCTAGGGAACTTGGGGAAATGAATAGTGATATCCTGAAAAGAGTTCATATGACAGAAGAGGAGGTGCTGGAGGTCTTAAAACACAAAGGTAGCTAAATCCCTGGAACCTGATCAGGTCTTTCCCAGAACTTTGTGGAAAGCTAGGGAAGAGATTGCTGGGCCCCCTGCTGAGATAGTTGTATCATCAACAGCTGTGGGCGAGCTGGCAGAATACTGGTGGTTGGCTAACGTGGTGCCATTATTTAAGAAAGCCTCAAGGAAAAACCAGGGAACTATAGACCAGTTAGCCTGACATCAGTGGTGCATAAGTTGTTGCAGGAGAATGTGAGGGTCAGGATTTACATGCATTTGGAAAGGCAAGGACTGATTAGGAAAACATGGCTTTCTGTGTGCTTGCCAACTTGATGAGTTTTTTGAAGAGGTGACAAAGAAGATTGATGAAGGCAGAATGGTAGATGTTGTCTACATGGACTTCAGCAAAGCATTTGTCAAGGTTCCACATGGTAGACTGTTTAGTAAGATTAGATCACATGGGATCCAAGGGGAGCTAGTCAACTGGATACAAAATTAGCTTGAAGGTAGGAGACAGAGGGTGGTGGTAGAGGGTTGCTTTTTGGGCTGGAGGCCTGTGACCAGCGATGTGCCGCAAGGATTGGTGCTGGGTCCACTGCTTTTTGTCATTCATATAAACAATTTGGATGTAAATATAGGAAGTATGGTTAGTAAGTTTGCAGATGACACCAAAATAGGTGGTGTAGTGGACAGTGAAGAAGATGATCTCAGAGTACGACAGGAACTTGATTAGATGGGCCAATGAGTGGCAGATGGAGTTTAATTTAGATAAATATGAGGTGTTGCATTTTTGGTAAGGCAAACCAGGGCAGGACTTATACAGTTAAAGGTAGGGCCCTGGGGTGTGTTGCCGAATAAAGAGACCTAGGAGTTAATAGCCAAAGTCTTTTTCTTAGGGTAGGGGAGTCCAAAACTAGAGGACATAGGTAGGGCCCTGGGGTGTGTTGCTGAATAAAGAGACCTAGGACTTAATAGCCAAAGTCTTTTTCTTAGGGTAGGGGAGTCCAAAACTAGAGGACATAGATTTAAGATGATGTCAGGTTGGTGCAGACA